TAATCTATACTCAAAAGTACACGGCTGAGGCGAGTTGCAGACCCCTCGGAATAGTCCTACATTCTACTACCCAGCATGCATGTAGGTTTTCTGCTTTACCAACCATTATTCTGACCCTGTACTGTCTATACGGCATGATAGGAATATTTGGAAAAGTCCAGTTCATTGGGGCATCATTGATCTCGTAAACTCCCTGTTAATAAAAAATTATCACAGACCTCACATTTATAATACCGTTGTGTTTAAAGTTTAAAGCAGCAACAATTTTCGCCATCTAAACTTAAAATACCATAAAAACAAATACATAATACGTAACAGTATGACAAGATCAGACTTGCAGTCTTAGTACCGGGTGTAACTGAGAATGCGCAACAGTGTTGCGGGTTTGCCTACCCAGTTAGCCCGTAAGGCGCAATGGCCCCTGCAGCCCTGGCGGGTATGCAATCCCGCAACACTGTTGCGCATTCTCAGTTACACCCGGTTCTTACAGGCCGAAACAAGCACGCGCCTTTAACTTCTCTCTTCCTTAGAAGCTGCTCGTAAAATCCAGGAACATTTTCTTTAAAATTTCGGCATGGCTGGCTAAATTTAAAGACATAGGCATTTTCCTTCCACTGGTTATTTGACCAAATATCCGCAATAATTTTCATCTGTTATATGAAATCGTTCGTAATCGATTAATATTTCTGCATTTTGTGTGTGGGAGGGGGGGATGATAATTCGCTAGATGCTCACATTAAATGAGTGTTGCCTTGGCTGTCAACTCTCTTGTCTGTCACATACATGGCTGACTTACACACCATTGTGTGTGAACCACTTTCACATTCCAGTGTTGAATGTAATTTACTTCTACTATTTGCAATGTCTTACCCAGCCGCTGTCATCAAGAAGTCCACTTGTAGCCGTCACATTGCCTGTCAGGCGTTGCAACTCTTTTGGTTTAAGTGGGTTGAAATGAGTCGCACGAAAAAACCATCTCCAGGGAAGCGGCCGGTTGTCGGGTTCACACATGTAAAAGCGCTCCCCGTAAGAAATGTAAGGACCCTATTACAAACAAAAGATAAACCCGTCGCAATGCAGGCTGACTTTTGAAAATAACATCAAAGGAGGCCTGACATTGCCTGCCCTCACTAAATGGTATTTGACAGATCCACCATTTTTGTGGTCACGTTGAAGGCACAGTTGGCATCATAGGTCGCATTTGAAATTGGCATTCAGGAAAGGTCGACGGTTCCCATGAAAGTCGTCCGATCTCAGCGACGCTCTAACGTCCTCCGATCTCCCAGTGACGCCTTTGACGTCGCACTGTAAAATGCTTGCAAACTATAATCTTTGCAACGTGGCAGAGAATTTGCGAGCTTTGTATTTGTACTGCAAAGAATTAGTTCGTTTTGCAAAGAAGTTCTTTGCAAGCTGTCAGAATCCTTGCAAACAATGTGTTTGCATTGCAAAGAAATAGTTTGCAACCGTGCGAAGAACTAGTTCGTATTACAATGCTTGAAAATTCTTTGCAAGCTGCAAGGAAAATAGTTTGCAATACGAACCTATTCTTTGCAAGCATTTTGCAGTGCGTCTGAGCTCCTTTTGTCGTGCACTCTGCAGCGCTGCATTCTTTTAGAGTGGGATAATATCGGCGGTAGAGAAAAAGTGAAAATTGCTATGTTTTCCCTTGATCTTGTAGGAACGCCTGGGAACACAGATCGCACGACGTTACTAGGACCCGTCGAGGTATAACCATACTATCACAGAGTTGATAACTTTGCCGTGGACGCCCGCCGAGCACACCATGAGTGCTAGAAGTGTGCTTGCCATGATCATGATCCCAGGGACACAGCAGTACAAGGCAGTATACAACTGGATGCTGGCTCAATGGGAGCAATGTGCTGTGGCCTTGCGCGACGCAGTGGTGACCAGCTGAGGAAATAAACCATTAAATCAGTAGCGGGATTTTATACCGCGATATTACGCGTCACAAAAGGTTTTCCAACGGTGTTTCCGGTGTTGGTCTAGTTGGTCTAGACAGCCGCGTTCGTTAACAGCCGATCGCGATTGTGTGTCCGCGTGGGATGGAGTGCGCGTGCGACCTCCAGCACCTCCGACACGTCACACGTCCCAGGTAGAACACGTGTCGAAATAACGTCAAAACTAACTCATTTTGATGCTCATCGTCAAAATTTACTGCGGCTAGATGAGCGTCAAAATGAGGTGGTTTTGACAATATTTGGCTGAGCCTCAAAGCAATAAGAAATAAAGAATCTGAATAAAAAGAAGAGGCGAAGCCTTAACAATCGAGTCGAGAAGCCCCCAGGAGTTTGGGAGATCACGGCCCAACTTATGGGGATCCAACCTTCCCAATGGTAAAGTTTATAGGGTTGATGTGAGTCAGAGATATGTTGTTCTGAAGAGAGTACAACAAAAATTGCGAAACTAATTCTCGAGCAATTATTACCGTTGGAAAGATAACTGAGGTCAAAGTTACAATGAGCGCTTGCTTCTAAAACGCCTCATTTTGCAGTCTATGCGTTGGCAAGCCTGCGCAGAAAACGACATGGCAGAACTGAGGTATATTTCGTACGCGCGAGGAGCGGCGTCGAGTAAATGGGCGAAATGGGTACAAAAAAAACTAAGGAGGAAAGAAGTTGAAAATTACTTCCCCATGATAATTAATTGCCAACATAACAAAATCACAAAACAACGGAAACGCACATCGCTTCCGCGACCAGGGATCAGCCTCTTTGTCTATAACAATGCCTACCCCTTTAAAAATGAAACGAGTGCGCTACGGGTGCGATGCGAGCGCGAGTCGAGAGCACGGCGAGCGCAGATCGAGTGCGAGGCGAGTGCACCACGCGAGCAGAGTAGGTGCACCGCGAGAGCACAGGGAGAGCACGGCGGGAGCGATGCGGGAGCAGAACGCGAGCGGTTCGCGAGCGGAGCGGGAGCGACACGGGTGCACTGCACGAGCACGGCAAGAGCGCCGCGCGCATAGGGGTGCGTGATCGATGAAGATATTCGCACAAGTGGTGGAAATAGGCGGTTTTCGGTTATATGCACAACTTGTGCAATCTACTGAACAAACGCTATTTGCACCAGGGGATATATAAAAAAGGTGCAAATAGCGCCTTCACACACTTTTGCACAACTTGTGCAAGAAAGTAAATGTTAGCTATTTGCACAACCTACTGCACTCGAACATGGTGATAGTGTTTGAAGCTCGCGACGTCTGCTTCCGAGCTGACTCGTAGACGAGGTGTAACGAGTCAGACCCTCAAGGGAGGAACGCTGGTTCGACTCCCGGCCGGATGACTCTTTTCTTACGGCATGAGCGTTTGTGGTAAAAGTCACAAACAGTCTGAGGGGGGCGCCCCGTTTGTCCGAAGCCCGTTTGTCCGAAGTGAATTAATCTATTTTAGTAAATAAAATAAGTAAAGTAGTTAGTTACATTATGTTATTTCATTTAGTG